CCAAAAAGGGACCATACTTTTGACATCCACCCATATACTATATAGCTACATGGAGCCTTCAACCGGTGCTATGGGATAGTTGTGTCAACCACAACTCCGCCAAGTGGCGATAAACAGACAAAATTCTACCACAACTTCCCCTAAGGGTCCAAGGACCCAAATAATAGGGTTTTAGGGCCCAAATACCATTAATATTATAGTATCTAGGCCCTAAAACCCTATTATTTGGGTCCTTGGACCCTTAGGGTTCCATCAATCCCTTAAGGCCGTGCGCAACACAAACCCTGGTGCTCCATGTATATAAATAATATCTACATCGGGCCCCAATGTGTAGGACTATAACCTACATTGGGAGTACATTGGACCATCTGGAGCCCAAGGGTAAGAAGAAGCTGAAAACAGGCGGACCGCCCAGAAGGATACCTTAGGTGGACCCCCCAACCAGTAATAGTGACTATAAGGGATAATAGGGATCATATTGGGGTTTAGGGTTTAGGGTTTAGGGTGACCCCCCCACCCAGTAATAGTGACTATAAGGGATAATACGGATTATATTAGGGCCCTCTTGTATTCTTATTCTACTACTATTTCAGGGTGGGGGGGTCCTCCTAAAGGATACCTTGTAAATGACATTCTCACTGATTCTTGCTCTAGCTTGTTGCTTTGAATGCCGTGTGGGAACGTGGTCCCAAGCACAGTCGAAGAAAGACACGCTGATCCTTGACAACAACCCGCTGATGCTGGAACTAACGGCTGTTTTGTCAGGGGGCGGCTCCAGATTTGTGGAAACTTATTCAAAACTAGTACAGTTCTCAGAATGATTGCGCATATGACTGTTACTCCGACTCTAACCAAAACTACTACTGTTGCTATTACCATCGAACCCAGAAGGTCTGCTGACGTGGCTTGGGTGTTACCGATCAAAACTCTACACGAAATCATCCTGCCAACATTTTTTCCCTTTGCTACTCTAAACGGTACACCCATAGTAAGGCAAGCTGCGTAAATAAGCAAACCAAGCAAGCACAGCGTAAAGAAGACAGAACCTGGGCACGAACGTGCGGATGGTTTCGAAGATTGACGCCTTGCCCTAAGGACTATTGCTGTGCTGAACTTAGTACCCCCAAAAAGCTCCCCTAAACCATGAATCTAGGGACTTTAGGAGGGACCCCTAATAGGGACCCTTAATCCCATTAACATATATAACCCCTATATAGTCATTATATAACCCCTATATCCCTAGGAGAATGAACCAAGGGTGTAGGAGCTTGGGCCGCTGGACCTAAACCCTGTTTTGGGCAATACCGATGTGGAGCCATGGCTGTGAGGAGGAAGGTTGTTTTTTTCTAGGCACCTTGTGTGGAGCTAGGAGAAGAAGACACTAAGTCGGTAAAGTTAGGATTATATTGGAACAATGGAAAAGAAAATGGGAAACAAAATGGAAACTACTATATAGACTATACAGTAGTTTCCATTTTCTTTTTGCCCACTGACCTTCAATTGCCCCAGGTTCGCGTTAAAATAGAGGTACACCGGAGGCTCACTGCTGTGTAGACCATGCTTTGTCGATCATACCCAACGTCTGATGCATCTGTGCGAGTCGCTGGGGAAGGACTCTTTGTTGAGGGTACACCTCAAAAAACGCCCTGTTGAAGGTGAACTGCCACTTGCTTCTTCTGAGCTTATCATGCTTAGTCAGCTTCAACCTTGTGTGTTTAAGCAATTTTCCTCAAGAAGGAGAGGAGTTCGAATGAGGGACCTGGGGACAAGCTTACGGCTCCGCTTTTGTCACGTGATATGAGCTATAGTCTAAACTCCTAGTATCCCTCTTGATAACCCCTATAGTAGTCCCCTATATAATCCCCTATATAAGCCCCCTTTAAGGAGTTTAGACTATAGCTTATATGGCTTTGAGAGACAAGCCTCCAAATAAAGGAACTGAATTCTCAACTGCATGCATAAACTTATGGAAGTTTCAGGACCTTTGTGGGGTTTAGGGTTTAGGGTTTAGGCTGCGCGACCATAATATAAACTACCCTATAATCCCGTTTCCATTTAATTTTCCAGGTTCTTTTCCATGTGGTTCTCCATGTTTGGCATATTATTGGGGTAATGTCCCTATGATTTCCCCTCTAACCCCTATGCTACAGTAGTTCCCATTTTCTTTTCCATTATCCCATTATATATCTATATATGTATATCCAATACATACCCTATTATATTATAGTAGCCTTCCTAAACCCTTAACTCTAAACCCTAATAGGGTATTTTCCGACATCTGGAAGAGCAAAGCCATTCCAGTACATGAGTAGATGTTACAGCACACGGACCTTGCTGGTATCTCTGTACACCCTAGGAGTCCAAGGACCCCGATAATGGGGTTTAGGGCTTAGCGTTTTAGGGTGCAAGGACCCTAACAATAGAACATTTTCTATCATGAACTGTACTTGGGACCTGGAACCCTATTATTTGGGTCCTGGGACCCTTAGGGACACTTCTTTTGATGCGGCAAATGGGTGTGCAGTTGAAAAAGGACTCCATTTTGGTACATGTGCAGAGAAATCAGCGCAACAGCGACAGCAGCAGCAGCTGACATGAATGAGTTTACCATCTGAACACATTGGATACTGATAGGTAACATTTGGTAGTTTCCCTACATAGGGGAACCCCAACATAGACCCCAATATGCTATAATCCTTATAATGGGGACCCCAAAAAGGTACCCGGTACCCCTATTTGTGGGAAACCCCAAATCCTAATCCCTAAATTGTAGTTTCCACTTTCTTTTCCGCTATCCCTACATAACCTCATAAAACCCCAACATCAGCCATAAGCCCCTAAACCCCGAATTTCGTGAAACCCCCATTTGGAGCATATCTAAGCTTTTGATTCCTTGCCAGGTAAAGCTGACCAACAACAGGTTTAGGCTTTAGGGTTTAGGGTTCAAGAGACCCACAAAGTGCAACCTTAATGGCACATCTACCCTCGTATTGAATAGAACTTAGGTGTGTGTGCACCAGATGCTTGTGGTTGGAGTTACGTGTAACCCCAATTACCACAGCATTACAGAAAATACCCACTAAATAGGAGTTATTACTACTAAATTGTCGGTAATGGGGGGGTTAGAGGTAGGTCCTTAGGTGCACATGTGCATGTATGCGCGCATGGACCACTGGAAGGAAGTTGCTAGTCAATACCTCCCTTCACAATGGCACGGAAACACAGAAGGAAGCCTGCATAGGCTGCAGTCCCTTGCAAAGCGGGCTGTAGGCCATTCTGTGCTTGTTAAGAAGAGAGTACAGATTAGTCGCTTTCCCATAGGCCAGTATTGAACCGCTCTCTAGTGCAAGTTCTATGCAACGTGTAATATGACAAAGCAATATGCGAGGGCAAGGACTGACAGAGTAGTCATGCATTTTTGGCCTTGGTAGCAGCATGCCGCTATGATATACGAGGCCTTTGATGCGAAGACACTAAATTTCCGCCCGAGCAACGTGATGCGACGCCCAGCCCCTTCACCAAAATCACAATCTCCGGCGTGTAGCGCAACAATCGCACCAGCCGCACCATGCGGAAGAACCTTAGCTTCAAAACTTCGGGAATGTTTGCTTTCATGTGTCGTTGCTTCCGATGCGCCCAAGTAACCAAGTACCTACCCCTTCGTAGTAATTGCCCCGTGTTAAATAAGTATGATCCACAAAGCTGTAGGTAATTTTGGTCACTGGGAAACTGGATTCCTGCAGCACCCTTGTATACTACCCGAAAAATATGCAACAGATCCAATGTCCTTTTCCATTTCCTAAACACTAAATACTAGTTTCCATCTCCATGTCATTCCTAAGCCCCACACCAGCAACAAGAGCTTCCGTGTTCTGCCTTAAACCTTCAAACCTTTTTACAGCCATGAACACAGAAAAGCTGTGTAAGAGAGACTCCCAAAGTCAGGGCAATCGGCGTGAAGACCCAAAAAGGACTCCCCATAATCCCCGTGCACTAGTTCCCCAGTAACCCCTTAATAACGATAACAATAAGGGTACCCTTTTTCCTAAAGTTCAGCTTTAATATGGAGACACCAAGATGAAATGGATACAAAGGGGCACTACTGGGGTATCTAGTATAGTCCCTGTGTATCCCTGGGTTAGGGGATTAGGGTTTCAACCCTAAACCCTGAAGTCTAAATCCCTAAACCCTAAATCCTTAAACCCCAAACCCTGAATCCCTAAACCCCTTAAGGCTTAGGAACCTGAGGGTTGCCAAGGAGTCCCTTTTTAAAAAAACTCCCAAAATCCGGGCGAACGGCTTGAAGACCCGAGTTAAGCGTAGGAAGGCCGGGTTGAATGTGGACGGTGTGTCCGCGGTCCTTAGCACTGCGCCTAACCCCTAGGGCCCTAAGGCTCCAAATGGCCCAATGTAGGTACTATAGGGTTTAGGTTGGGTACT